CTTTCATCGTCATCATTCTGCTTGCGCTTCTTGCGCTTCTGCTTCGGCTCCGAGAGCGCATTCGCCTTCGACCGCGGATTCGCCGGAAACAAGAACCCGTCGGGTACTTCATCTTCGCCCTCTGAATCTGACCCGAAATTGATGCCGTCGTGGGCCTCGGACGGGTTCGTGTTCTTTTTGGGACCGTATTTGCGTCGAATCAGTTCGCGCGGGTCACGTCCGAGGTTTCCCTTCTCCGCTTTGGCGAGATACTTGTCAATAAATGACTTCATCTCTCGCAGATATTGCGCCGTTGCAGTCGAGGGGATCACCCAAGAGGCTCCCGCCACGTCTTCCACACCAAGTCGCTCGAATTTGACGAGCGTCATCAAGAGACGAAGCTTGGCGTTCGAGAACATGGCGTTCTGGAATGTCTCGTCTCGAGGTTTGACAGCTGCGCAACGGTCAGTACATGTGTACACTACACACACACCCGTGACGACATTAGAGATTACATACATATCATTGGGTTGGGAATCCTCGCGCTCTCTGCACCTGCTTCGCGGAGGGCCTTCTCCTGCTCTTGCCAGGCATCTCGTTCCTCCACGGCCGACCCCAGTACTTCGCTCACCCACTTGACGAGTTCCGCATCCCCGTCTAGAACCAAGGCAGGCACCATGATGCTCAGCTTCTCCTCGATGGTATTTGCTTGTTTGGGATCGATCTCCAGCTCAGCTGGGGCTCTCCGGATGGTCGGGAGCGTCTGCCGCTCATGTCCATATTCGAGGTAATAGGTGGTCGCGTTGATCTTGCTGAAGAGTAGCTCGACGAACAGCGCAGGGCGCTGTTCCAGTTTCTTGGTCAATTTCCGGATTATTTGACGGACTAATTCTTCCCAGTCTTGGAAAATTGGCTTGCTTGAATCCAAGGCTCCGGGCCCCTTGATCATGCGGTAAAAAAGATTAATGATGTCGAGACGGAATAGCAAGACGCTCATCTCCTGCTTGAAGGCAATTCGGTAGAAATACCGGTGGGCACGTTTCAGTTGCTCCGTGTTGAGCTCTCTATAATGCTTGGTGAAGTTGACGAAAGTGTCGACGCATTTCTGGTTGCAGAATTTGGCGGCGAAACGCCTGAAGTCGAAGCTGCGCTCCTTCGACATCCTTTCCGCCTCCATCATATCCTCATCCTCGGATCCGTGCTCTTCGTCGTTCTCTCCCTCAACGATCCCCTCGGTTTCCTTCTGCTTACGTCTGGCACGCCGCCGAGACCGCACCTGCATGTCGACATTCTCTTTGGAGTAGCGTTCCAGCATACGTAAGAAAACATGGGTAAGCTCGGTGCATGCATTCAGGTAGCCGAATCCTTGATCGGTATAACCGCGAACAATAGCGATCACGCGATCATGCGTGGTTTCCTCGTAGAAGATCCGATTCTGGATATTTTCGGCAATCTCTTGGTCCTCCTCAAGTGGCGATTGGACCATATCCTGGACCGTCAACAGAATCTGCGTAAAGCAGCGCATCTCGGCGATGAGATCTTGCCAGTCCTTGCTGTCGACGGCATACTGCATGGCTCTGTTCAGGAAGACGAACGTTTCCTGGTCCAGCACACCGGCAACCAGACCGAAGCTATCCGGCTCGATCTCCTTCCCAGGCTTCTCACTTTGCGCCCGTTTCTCCCGCTGAAGTGCACGTCGTGCCCGTTCCGCCTGCAGAAACCAGGACACGGTGTAGAAAAACTGACGGCTGTTGATGTCGACCACCCGATCCGCTTCCCGTTCGATTGCTTTGCGCACGTGTGTGAACAAAGGGTTGAACCCTGAATCCAGGAACTCTTCCACGAACTTCCGGAGGTTCTCAGACGCCGCGGAGTTGAGGTGCACAGGAGTGTTGAAGTCGTTGTACGTGGTCAAATCCTGCACCTTCCGGCGGAATTGAGGCTTGTTCCACTTCTTGCTGTCATCCATCTTCTGGAAGGTCGTCTGGTCATCTTTAAGGACACTCTGCCCGGACACTGTGGAGTATTTGGCGTCGTCGCGCTTCACCCAGATCATGGTCCCGAATCGACCGTGCCGCGTGGGTGCATTCTTCGCATATTCTCTCCGCAGCGACGACTCCTTCCGTAACAGGTCATCGAGCTCGTCGGTCCGCTTCGCGGTTCGTTGGGTATTGTTCATGAATAGCCTCTCGACGTCGACACCTCTGACTAGATAGAACAGGATCTCCAGGAGAGCCACGTCTTGCAGGTTGAAGTCGTCTCCCACATTGGAGCACATGGTGAGGAGGAGTGCGAATACGTCCTGGTCCTGAAAGGCATTGATGGTTGCCGAGCGGGACGTTTCCTCCTCGTCCCCTTCAGCTGCCAGGCGAGTGTTCGGGGTTATCAGGGCGATATTGCGCAGGAAGAAGAGCACTAACTTGAGAATACCCTCATCGCGAGTGGCGCGTTCGGATCGCGGGGTTGCCATGCTCGGGAGGCCGATGCGGATGATTGTGCGGAGATAGCCCGTGCTGGCATGGCTAAGAATCCCCCGCTTATATGCGACATGCGAATGTTGTAGGTACGGGATGTGTTTGAAGTTGTCGGCCGTCATTTCACCTTGCATCTCCAATGGCCAAGTCAGAGGCACCAAGATTTCCACTGCAAGACCACCCGTCAGTCACCCTGTTCCCTAGCGTAAAGATGGTAAAATACAGCGGCAACATACAACACGCCAAGGCGATCCGAGACATATATTTGGTCTGCTTGGTGCTATTCGCAAACGTCGACAAGATCGGTAGCAGGTCTCCGTTGACCAGGTTCGCTTCTCCCAGGCATCGCGCAACGTCCATGCGGTTGTACTTCTCGTCGTAGAGTTTCAGCCAGCGCTTGATATCCCGCAAGCATGCCAATGCATCGTCACCCAGGACGTACTTGTCCGCATCTTCTCCGTTGAAGCCTCCGAGCTAATATGGACAACGTCAATTAGGATTTCACAGTATGGGCTGTGCGCATGTGATGTAGTTGCATACTTACCGCGGTGACAAGGCTGTAGACATGGGCTCGAACTTCCGGATCCACCACGGTGGACTCGGTCGCCGCGAGCGCTGGCTCTTCGACCTCCATATTGGTCGATGATGCTGGACTCCTGATCGCTTTCGACTTGAATAGCAACTTACTAGGCACTACACTGTCCATCGCTGCATCTTTCGGGCAATCTGTAAATGATCCGGCGCGCATATGGGTCAGTGCACCAATCAGAGCGTGCCATTTACGTGTTCATCGCGTCTCCGCCTTCGGGTGGCCGGCGAAACGGTTCGGCCGGTTGAGCCGAGGCTAGCCGATGACGTCGGCTCACATGAGCCGATACCCGCGGACCATCACAAGCAAAGGAAACGAGTGCGGAGAAGGGCGAAGGCAGTAGTTAGGCAAGGCATCGAGTTATTTTCTGTTCATTTGGTTCTCCAAGCGTCTTTCATTTCTTTACTCTATGCTGGACAAGTTCTGTGCTCCTGCTACAGCCATGTTGTTGTCTTCAATCCGCTCCCTCTGCTACAGAGGCCCCTCAATCGCCTCCAGGGCCTTCAGTTCATACCCCCTCGCTCGAACTGCCGAGGTCAAGTCGTTAGGTGTGATAGGAGCTGGTCAAATGGTCAGTTGCAGCACTTTCCCCTTTCCCTCCAAAAGCATGACTCTCACACCCTATACTAAATGATTCCATGATAGGGACTGGGCATCGCGCTGGTTGCCGCCCAAAAAGCCCAAGTTCCAGTAACATTAATCGACACATCCCAAGCATCCTTAGATAAGGGCCTCAAGTTTGCCGGTATTTTCAAATCCCTTCCATCCTTGGGAGCTCGTCCCACCTACTGAGATTCTCCGCCGTATAATGTTCTCGAAATAACTAACGATCCCCCTCGCGATACGTTCCCCGAAAATGCAGACAAACTCCTCGCCAAAGATGTCGCCAAGGAGCGGCTCACCCAGGAAGCGGCGGACGCGGCGCGCGGGCGCATCACGCCGAGCCAGAAGATGGAGGACCTGAGCGGGGTGGATTTTGTGATCGAAGCGGTGCCGGAGATCGAGGAGCTGAAGCGGAGGATTTTCGGGCAGCTGGCGCAGATCGCGCCCCGGCACGCCATCCTGGCCACCAACACCTCGTCCATCTCCATCACCAAGATCGCCGCAGCGACGACGGCGGACCCGACGGACCTGCAGGCGCCGGCGCGGGTCGTCTCGACGCACTTCATGAACCCGGTGCCCGTGCAGAAGGGCGTCGAGATCATCGCGGGCCTCCAGACGGCCCCCGAGACGGTCGCGGCCGCCGTCGCCTTCGTCCGCCGCATGGGCAAGGTCCCCGCCGTCTCGGCGGACTCCCCAGGGTTCCTGGCGAACCGCATCCTCATGCCCTACATCAACGAGGCGATCATCTGTCTAGAGACCGGCGTCGGGGCCAAGGAGGATATCGACAGTATCATGAAAAACGGTACCAATGTGCCCATGGGCCCCCTGACGCTGGCGGATTTCATCGGGCTGGATACCTGCTTGGCTATCATGAATGTCTTGCATCAGGAGACCGGGGATAGCAAGTACCGGCCGTCGGGGCTGTTGAAGCGCATGGTCGATGCCGGTTGGTTGGGCAAGAAGTCCGGCAAGGGCTTCTATGACTACTGATGAGCGGCGATGGCCCTGAGCACCCTCTAATGCGTCGCGTTATATACTCTCAATCAATGCCACCATGGGTTCGGCTCTCCTCATTCGCTTTGCTACCATGCGTGGGTTGTGATTCAGGATGGAGGTTGTAGTGATTAATATCTATTGTGACGAGGAGACATCTCTCTACAGGTGCATGAAGGTATGTGTATATATATATATATTCATTCCAATTCTGGCATTCTGGCAAATTGTCGGCAGAGATAAAAGCAATTTTAGGTCGTTAGCATCAGATTGATATGACAAAGGAAAAGTCAAAAGAATGGCTAAAGTCAACATCGCACGCCTCCTGAAATCAGTCGCATCAAAATCATTATTCATCGCCGTCATAGAATGATGTCTCGGCGCAGTAAGTCTATGCTCATTCGGGAAAGTCTCTTGCTCTCCCTGCGAGTCCCCTCCGTCTTAGCTTTGGCATTGGCCGCCGCCTCCTCATCACGGAGTCTTTCGTTACGGAGGATGGCAGTGACCACCGCAGACAGCTCGGCCTCCTGGTCTCTGCTCAACTTGGTGTGTCCGATAAGCACGGCCAGGAAATCCGCGGGTCGCTTTCCGGACGCAGCACAGGCACAAGCAGACCAAGGATCGCCACATTTGTAACTGGAACAAGCAGTCAGTCAGCCTTCATTGTTGCGTTGATAGATGTACGGAAAGAATGGGAACACTACCAGAATTGTGCCTTGCATCTGCAGGTGACATGATCGCATCCAGAGACAAGCTCGACCATGGAGCCGCAATCATAACATCGCCGCCATTGCTTGATTCGGGCCTCCTCAAGAACAGCAGCAAGGCCGGGATCCGGTGAGCATCCTCGCGACGAATGAGCCAGGTCGCGACACCCTGAACATATCTTGGTGCTGCAGTAAGGGCACGTCTGCGATGCGGATGCGCTCTTCACATGCTGCGACGGAATGAAGCGCCCACACGTCGCCGCTGGGCAGTACCAGCGTTCTGCAGCCGGGATCGCATACTCCTGCGCTTTCAAGATGTAGAAGCTTCTTTCTTTGGGCGTCAACACGGGCAGGATCGTCTCAACTGGGATATCCAGCTTGCAGCATCGGGGTGGGAACAGCCCTTCCTCGGAAATAACCGTGAGCACCATCTGCTTCATGCATCGGCTGCAATATTTGTGTTGACAAGGCATAGTCGCCAAGCACTCGGCCGGCATGATGTCGAGGCAGCACACACAGCGTCTACGCGGCGTCAGTTAGTCTTGAACTCAAGGGGTCGACCGCGCAATAGGGTAAGCTCACTCGTCGATGATCTCACTCCTAGCCTGTTCTTTGGTGAGCTTGCCACGAAGCTTGCTGAAGAAGCGCTTGACCCTGAACCTTGTACGACTCTTCTTCTCGCCTGATAGCGGATCTGGAAGAGCAGCATCGGCCCCGGAGGAGGCACTAGATGACCCAGTGTATGACCTCGACCCGCGCATGGTGCGAAGCCCTTCTGGCATCGGGAGAGCTTCGGCTGGTTGCGCAACAGCACGAGAAGACAATCTTCTGATCATCATTGGAGGCATTCTCTTGGCTGCACCAAGTACTCTGCAGGTTCAGGACTTTAGAACGGATCGCGGGATAGCCCTATGAGGATTGATGGTCTCAAGAATGGGTGAAAGCAGGTCGGACCGTTTGATTGCTGGGAAGTATTCTGGAATACTGGAATCCATAATCGCAGATCGTGTCTGGGCAAGAGCGGGTTTTGGCGAGAATACTAAAGCTGGGTACCGTATATCAATAACATAATTCGAACGCTGTCAGGTAGTCTGCTATTTGATATATTGAATAGATGGTCGAGGGACTGAAAGAGTAAGAAGATTGACCGGAGGAAGAACGACATTTCAGTCTATATAAGCTGCTCTTCTACGCTGACCGGAATGCTCTTCCGGAAGGCTGTCGCATGATGAAATTCGGCATATGCGACAACTAAGCGGCCACGCCATGGGTACGGCGGTCGAATGCCACATGTTCAGGCTTCATCATTTGCTACCATGGGAAATGGGAGGGTCTCTTCAATCGCCAATTCGCTGATCGCACTTGGAAAATTTGGGAATGGCGCTGCTTAAAGTGTTTGGACCAACCATGGCCACAATCGAGCGCGTCAACAAGGGTCAAATGTCGGGGAGGATGGTTAACCATGAGAGTACCGGTATGCTTTCTGTCAAGCCGGTGTCGACGTGTCCAACTGTGGGGGGGGGGGGGGGGAAGTAGGGGATTGAGGATGTATGGAAGGAGATTATAGGAGGAGAAGAGAAGGTCTAAGAGGTGTTAGGTAGCAAGCAAGCAGCCTTAGGAAGTCCGTCGATGATTAGAGATGGATGCAGCCTCACCTCACCGCAACAAGCGACAATCCAATCCAGTCCAATCCCATGTGACTCACCCGCATCCTTTCTGCCCAACCGATTGACTCTGCGTGGTCAAAATTCCATCCCCCTTCCACACGCTGGAGTCGGTCAAACTAATAAACGAAGACCGCCATTGAGCTGCTGAGAAAAGAGATGATTAGATGTTTGTTCAATACTGACAATGAAATTTCATCAAAAATGCTTACTTGAAAGAAAGGGTATCAAGGACACAGAGCTACTACATAATACACACGCAAACAGGAAAGGTGCCAGCCTAGAATAACAAACCAAAAGCTGCAGCTCAACCCTCCGAAGACGCCAATCGCGCATTAAACCTTGAACTCCCCCGACCTGTTATAATGCACCAGCAAACTTCCGACCAGCCCAGGAGGAACCATACTCTTGGTATTCCTGACGAGTGATAGCGACCTTCTTGAACTCTTCTCGATTGGTGGCCAGTCGCGATGCCCCCAGCCAAGTGGATCGAATTGGGCTATCATTGAATCTCATTAGTTTCTTTTGACTCGAGTCAAAGAATTAAGGGATAAGCTTACTCTTGCGGGCTTCGCACCCTCACAACACATTCAGCGGATGCCAGTTGGCGCAGCTCGGCCTCCCTACACTAGGTTAGAAAACAAGTAGATCATTTCTGAGGAGATCGTCTTACAGTCTCCCCATGAACCCCGGCAGTAATGAATTCCCGCCAACAACCAGGACGTTGGCCAAGAAGGCCGGGTGCAACCCGGTAGGCAATACAGAAAGACTCTGCAGAACGATGTCCGGGATCCCGGCCTGTTTCATGCCAATATCACTGGGCGTAAACAAAACTTCCGGGACAGTAAACCGCTCGTTGCCCAAGACCAGGGCATCTTCGGATAGTGCCTCAGCGCTGGCACCGGACAGCGCTCCTTTCCTCTTCTTAGCGTTCAGTAATGGATCGTGTGGTCGCATGAAGCCCTTCTTTCCCGCGTTGGGGTCCGGAAGGACATAGTCTACTGCGACGCCCTCTTTCGAATCAGGGAAGTCACGCTTCCGATTGCCTTTCCAGGTCTGCTCCAAGTCGCCAACGAAGTTGTTGCTCACGTAGCAAACAGCCTCTTTGACCTCATTCATGATATAGGTTTCATCCACCATGTTATATTGCCGCACGGACACCATCTCCTTCAAATAATTTGTAAGATGTTTGCCGCCCAGGTCGAGTCTGCGTATGGCACGTTGAAGCGGTTGGCCTCGGTAGACAGGCGTCACCGTGGTGTGGGAGTAGCCGGAGTCGATGACCAGTAAACATTCTCTTGGAGACACAACAGATTCCGCCTCTTGCACAATCGGATCTCCGAAGACAGTGTTCAACTGGTTCCAAGCATTCAACGGCGGCCCTAGATAGAGCGGCAAACTCGCATCAGCAAAAGGACGCAAAGCCAAATGGGCTATTCGTGCCTATCTGGTTTCAGACTTTTAGAAGGGGGGGGAGGTCTCGCACCTAAGCTCCTGTAATAACCTCCAAAGCCCCACTCCTCCATCACAATCTCGTCGGCGTTCTTTTGCAGGACGGGCAACGCATTGGGCGCCTCCGTCAGCACCAAGGTGGTGTCTTCCGGGTCGGTGATGCGCAGCTCCTTGCTTCGCGCGGTCTTCTCGTCGAAGAACGAGTACTCCCAGATCTCTCTCTGGGCTTCCCAGTTGACGATATATCCCTTCTCTACCGGTCGACGAAAGAACATCTCGTTCCAGTCGGTCACATGTGTGTTGAGTTGCGAGCCGACGTATATGCGGTTTCCACGTGTCTTCACAATCGTATTGGGGATCGTAGCGCACGCCGAAAGCGCCTGTACTTCATCCTCAGGGGGTGGGTGTTCCGGCGCATATCCTGCTTTCAGTGTATATGCGCCATTGTCGACAATGAAAGTTTTATCCGGCAGAGCTTGAAGGGTCTGGGCTTTGGCGACGGAAGCTCTGCCGCCAGACGGACGCGGTTTAGCTGTGCCCATGCTAAGGGAAGAACGGTGGAACGGTCGCGAATCGATGTATTAGCTTCAATTGCCTCGAATCCATGCATGAGCAAATGGCACGGAGTCCGGACCACAGATATGTTGAATTTGGTGGTTCGAGTTGTTACATGCTAGATAAATGGAAATGCTCGTCCCCCGCGGCGGTCGGCCATGCCAAGCAGCCAGCCCTCCAAATCGGGAAACCAGGGCTCGATCTTAGGGCCACTATATGTGTACTGTCTGATACGGTACGGTACAATACCATCCGGCAGTCCTTGCAGAAAGCGAACATAGAGATGGTGTACGGAAATATGTAGGCGCCTACCACATTATGTCGCCATGGCATGCATGGCATTCATTATTTCTTGAACAACGAACTACACATTTACCCAGAACACGCAACTCGATACAGGACATCAAGATCTGTTCACAAAGAAGATGAGTCCCGGGCAAAGTCGGAAAATTGCCATATTATGTAGCAGTTCACTCTTCAGTCAAGTCGTCGAGCGACTCATATTGAGAGAGCTCTTCGGCAGTCATTCGATCCTTGAGCCATTCAAGTATGGCATCAGTACCCTTGGCGACAATCTGCCACCGAGGAACACGGAAGCTATTTCCGGCGACCTCGAACCGTCTCAGGGCAGATCCATTACCCCAATTTCTGCTCGAGCCTTCTCCTCTCAGCAAGCCTAGCTTAGGTGGAATCATGCCAATATCATTATTTCCCACGTCTAATACCTGAAGACCTTGGGCGGCATCAAACTCCAAGCTGGTATATCGATTGTCTGCGGCCACAAATGCCACCAGGTTGGTGTAAGTGCGACGTACGGCAGGCACCTGGCCAGACAGGCGGTTGTAGGAAACATCCAGAAATGTCAGGGCTGGTGCCACAAGGTTTGTCAAGATGGGATCCAACGTAGTAAGGTTTGTAGCGCCTAGATTCAGGCTTTGAAGATTGGGAAGCGTAAGAGCTGAGGCGAAGAGTGTTGTGTTATCTAGTGGGTTGTTTGAAAGGTCGAGGTCTGTGAGAGTAGACGCCAGTAAACTGAGGGCAGATATCGGGAAATAACGTAGCTCGTTGTGGTGCAGATACAAACATCGCACGTCGCTTAAATTAATTCGCCTTAACTCATCCAGCTCTAGCTCACGCATATCAGTGTAAGACCGATCAAGAACACCGCCAGGCTTGATCTGCCAAGCCGCCGTCTGAGCCGGGGTTTCTGGTGCCAATGTAAACTGGGTCGCGACAGAGCCCGCGTCATCGTCGGTATCCTGGGGCTCTGGTTCGCATCGGTTTCGCAAGTCGCGCTTCAGGTCTTCGGTGCCCATGGTCAGGAACTTTCGTTCGCGAAGGGGATTATTAGCCACTCGAAACGTGAACAGGCTCTCCATCAAGCCGATTCTGTCGTCCAATCTGGAGATATCGTTGCCTGTGAAATCGACGTTTCGAATATTCTTCAAGTCAATGAAGCCTTCTGGGAGATTCGGAAGGCTGTTATCCTCGGCCGACAATCTCAGCAAGGCCTGCCAGGACGACAGATCTGGAAGAGACTGGATGCGATTGCAGCTAATTGCTAGAGTCCGGAGATTAGGCAGTTCCAAAGCCACGTTTCCGGCAAGCTTCACCAATGCATTATTGGCCACATCAAGAACCTGCAGTGCTTCGAGCTTATAGACCGAAGCTGGGATGAGTGTGCCTTTCAGTTTGTTCTTTGGGGCTCGAAGCTCCTTCAGAGAAAGCTGGCTTAAGGCTTCAAACTGCAATGAACTCAGCTGGTTACCACCAACATCCAAGACTCGGAGTGAGCTCAGTTGTGACACTTCTGGAGGCAAGTCAGTGAGAATGTTGTCATGCAAATCCAAAGTCTCCAGCACATTCAGGTTTTTGATCTCTGGTGTAAGCGTGCCTTCCAACCGATTCTTGGCCAGCTTAAGATCTTTCAGGGATACCAATTCCATAACGACCTGTAAATCGTTCATTTTGAGATTATTATTTGACAGATTCAAGGTGTGAAGTCTTTGTAATCTTCTGAAGCCTATCGGTAGAGATTGTAGCAGGTTACCGTGCAAGTCTAGCAGCTCAAGCCCACCAAATTGGTTTCCCTTCTCGTCATCAGAATCCCCATCTAAATCGTGCGGGTCGATGTCAGGGAAAGCTTCTTCAGGAAGTTCCGTAAACTCGTTGTCGGCCGCAATGAACTTAACCAGGTCTACACTCTGGTACCATTCAGTAGTAGCATCAGGATCGAAGTCGTACATCGCCATAACTTCCTTGGGAAGTTCTTTCAGAGACATGGCTGCTATGTTGAGATGCCCAGAGGTTCTGCCTGTTTCAAGGCGTTTTCGGAGAAGACCAATATTTGAATCCTGGGGGTTCTGATTGAACGGATCTTCGGTGTTGAGCCGATCCCAGGCATCATTGGAAGACGAGGATTGCATGCGTTTCTGCGCTTCTGCTTTTCTTGCCGCCCTGGCTTTCGCGATGCTCTCTCTAAGAGCGCTTGAAGATTTTGAGACCTTCCTTGTTTCCAATTCTGACTGTTGCTCTGGCGTCAAGTCTGATGCCGTGGATCGTGCGGACGGTGACCGGGGGCCAACCGATGATTGCCTTGAGGTTGGGAGCTTCGGCTGCGCTCTTCGTGTTTTCTTCACATCTAGGCTGGGTAATGACGCATCCGGGCCCGATCCAGCGGCGTTCATGTGGGTTTGAGTCAATGCCGGACGAGGCTTTGTCGTGATAGATGCCAGATTAGCGTTTCCCTTATGTCCACTCATTCTCGTAGAGAGCAGCTTCAATTTCGACGGACTGTTTGTCGTAGCCGGGGCATGGCCATGATCACCCGATGCAGCATTCGTGGACAAAGACGGGCGAGGTCTGGATGGCAGCCGCATGGCAGAGGGCGGTCGTGCAAGATAATCGCCCCCACTAGGTTGTCGAGATGAGGATCTGGATGGTGATCTTGAATAGCTAGTCATTGATGATGAGGGGCGTGATGGGGACCGCATCGGACTCGTTGCGCCATAGAAACTCGACTGTCTTCTACCTGGTCCTGGAGATGGCGGTATTCTTGAGAGTGTCTCGATTGTTCGCTCTGCGAGCGAAGGTCGCGTACGGCCTCGCGTTCCAGTATCTTCGATCAGGACAGCATCGCGCTCCAAATATGGAGCAGTATTCAAGTTTGTGCTGGCTTCGGACTTCGCACCCCCGCCCGCCCTTGTCTGAGATCCATCGAGTTTCCGAAGTCCGGCGGAGAGTTTCTGAGGTGCTGTGAATTTCGGCAGTGGTTTTTTGAATACAGTATCTTCGGAAGGTCTGCGGAGTCTGTTCGCGTCCAGGCCCGAGTCGGTTTGTAGCTTCTCACGCGATGGCGAAGGTCGGAGGGGTTTGGAGGTTGCGGATGTTGTCGGCAAGGGGAGTCTTGATGCTAAGCGGGGAATGCCACTCGCTCGGGCAGGTGTTTTTGGTTGATTGTTCATCTTTGTACCAGGTTCGGGGAGTCTTTGACTATGATCGGCTGTGGGAGGAAGTTGAAAGGGGGCACTTTCATCACTATAGCAAGCTCATTGCCGCAAAGATATATCGACCCGGATGAAAATATATCGATCGATGATGTTCGGAAGTTGCCAATGGGTCAAGCAGTCATGGTGGAGGTCAACCCTATTGTAACTTAGAGAGGAGGTTGGTCAATCGTCAAGTTGGCGCAGTGACCTCACAGTGTGCATGTTGTCCATAAGATGGCTGTAATTATTGAATTGATTGTTTACCATTTAATTTGTAGACCCGCCGCGGCTATTGCATATCCTGGTGCCTGAGGCTGCATATTCCCCCCACCTTTTAAGGCACTCCCTTGGCACCGCCATAGCTCATAGTTACCTGCAAGTATTTATCAGACGAAACGTTCAGATTCTGTTTAGGCACTTGAAGCATTGCTAATGAATGCAGTCTCTCATATAAGGACACTATTTAGCAATTTAATACAAGGGAGTGAAATTGCTGTAGAGTCTTAGATGCACCTGTGAATCAAAAATTCATGTTTACATGGCTCTCTACATTGATACCTACTCCGTCCTACTAGACCAAACATCCTTGCATCTTGGAGATGAGAGAAATAGCTCATAAGTACCTCTCTTTACACCATCCACCCGATAGTATACATTCTTTCTTGATCTGATCAAGGCATGAACCCAGGTAGAAGTCATTTTCAGTGTAAAGTGATCAATATGTATGGTATTCATGTGACTCCGATAAACAGAACATGCACTTTAAGGACTTAAAGGGACCATGCGATTGCTGCATTCCATGACTTAGCAGCCAGCTGTTCGGTATATTCCACGGGCCAGACTCATCCTTGCAAGACTGTCTGACGAATGACTTGTGAGTGCCGCGTCGACCGACCTTACACTGTTATCTGCCAGTAGGTGCTTTGTGACCCGATTACCATCGGGCTCTGAGATCAAGACCATAGTAGACGGAGTAGAATAGAAACTGGGTAACTGGGTAACAGGTGGGTAACGTAGACTGAGTACTCCGTACAGCTCGCTGGGCTCTGGGCTGGGTCTGTCGTCGGTTGCCTCAGCTACAATCAAAAGTGGCCCATGGGGTTTCGGTTGTTTACCTTTTGCAAGCGTCAGCGATCTCTGCTTAGCCCAAGCAGGAAAGGTGGCCTTTTAGCGCGCGGCTGGGCTCACGTGGGTGATGGTGGTTGGAGATGGTTGGTCGAGGCTGAGCATTGCAAGCGATGGTTCCCAGCCTCCTCCAATTGTGCGCCAACTTACGCTTGCAAACACCCTTAAGGCATCAATCCGGCCCCTTCCTCCTTGCTTCTCCTCATCATATCATCTCTTACGCCCACCCCCTCCTCCCCTTCCCCCTCATCCATCAACTAGCTTCTTCATCGTCGCCCTTTCGTATACCTTATCGCGCGTACCTGCTTCATTCCTCTGATCTCCTTACTCCCGTTGACAGCTTCCCTCCCGCTTCCATACTTATCGTCTCTCACATTGCTCTCCCCTGCCATAACTTACTGCCATACCCGGAGCGATCTGTTTCCGACTTCTTATCGCCAACTCCCATACTACTTGCGAAACGTGCCCGATCCGGCTATCAGTGATAAGCGCATACATATCCCGTCGCAACGCTGTTACTGCGACGAATCGCGCAACGCTTTTCCTAGATTTACCATCCCATTGCCATTGCATTCATCCAGCCTGATTATTCTGCCCACCCGCTCGACAACATACCTCGTCTCGTCGCATCCTCGCACTCACCAAGGATATTGACGTCTCGCATGCGCTTGCGCCCGACCGCCTCACGCTAACTTCCGGCCCACCGCATTGAAGCTTTGCCCGTACGGTCCTACATACAGACTGCGTCGGGCTTGGCTGCGAACGCAAAAACCAGTTACTTGCCTGCTTCCTGGATGCCATACCTTGACTATGTCACAAGAATTCGAGCGTCCGCTCTCGCAGGGATCGCTTGCTCCCCCAGTCGATATTTCAGGGCCTGCTACCCCGGTTAAACGGGCAGTTCTATCCGCATCACCAGACTTGAGTGTCAAAGCTGGAAGCCAAGCTTCAAACTCCGACCAAAGCAAGCTCCTCTCACCACCATCTCTACCTTCATCAGATATGACACCGCCCCCCTCATCCCAGATACCCGGAGCTCCTCTGCGGGAATCGAGGTCTCGATCAAGCTCATGCCTCGCATCCCCGCCCAATATCGAGAAGACCCTCTGTGTGGCATATGGTGCTTCGGAAAACCTTCCAACTGCCGATGAAATTGATAATGCGAACGAATTGAAGCTTCGCATGATCGCCAAAGACCTCCTAGGTGTAGCTCAGGAAGCCCGCATGTCAGCGCTCCATTTCAAATTGCAAAACAGTCTGCTCTCATTCACGAGTAACGAAGCGATCAAGCGTGCAGAGGTCGAGCATCAACTCGCGCGAAGGGAGGTTGAGATTCTTCAGAGTTCGGAATATCGCAGTCGCCAATGCCAGCATGAACTGAAACCGATGCAGTCGATTTCGAATGAGGAGCTTGAGCTTTCTCTCAAGCGCAATCAGGAACTCGAGAGGGTTAATGCTACACTCGATCGAAGGCTTCGCCGAGCAAAAAAGCTTATCGAACAGGAGAGAAATACGTCCGAGCTTCTAAGAGAAGAAAATAGAATGCTGAAGGACCGAATCCGCGACAACCGAAGACACTTCTCTCGGATGATCGAGCATGGTCCAATGTCGCCGAGTCCCCAGAACGAGGCCCACACTCCTCATAGAGGGGCAATACCTCAGTTCGCCGACGACGGTGGTCATCACTTGAACGGGACTGAAAGGCATGATCCCTTTGAAGCTCTTCTAGCAGCTCACCGCGTCCTCAACCAAGAGTCGCCAGCTGTCGCCTCGACCCCCGATAGACACCGCAATCATCGAGAGAATGCGAGTCGTCACATGCGCGGCGCTCACTCTTTGTCGTCTTTACCTATGACTCCATCCCATCCTCGGTTGACGCACGATGAGGGTCGAATTTATACCCCAGGGACATATTCTTCTGATGATCGTCGTGATCGAGACAGTACCATTTCGGCATCTGACATTGAAGAAGCCGAAACCGAGGAAGATGTCCCCACTGCAGGAACACGGACGGTCTCTAGTAGCGTGCACCGCCGCAGTCAGTTCAGCAACCATCCAGAGACTCGAGGCATGGCAAGTGCTGCAAAATCGAGTACGTTGCTGCAAACAAAGCTGTTTGGCCAAGTGAGGAAGCCCGGCGTTGATCGGCCCCTCAGTAAGAATCTCAAACGCAAAGCAAGTTTTGATGGTGCGACCCCGAAGAGATCAAAAGCGGAGGAGAGGGTGGGTCTCGGTATTGGCACCTGGAACAACTAGACCAAGCAGTACCCGTGCACAACGGCAAAGCGTCGCTGTTTCTGCCAAACCTGAACCTTTATCAGACGTAGTATCCTGTCGTCAGCGACATGAGAGACGCTTTTATATGTCGACGCGGATGGTCTGATTGCGTTATACCTTGCTTTCTGCATATGAGCTTTTCTCCCAGGACATGGAAAAGTGATGAGCGATGACATTCAAAGAAATGATGAAAAAGACTGGTCTTATTTAAGAGCAGCTTGTTTCCCTGTGTGATCTTATCTGCCCCGGATTTTGTCTTCGATATGTTTGCGTTGGCTTTTCGAGCATATCCTGTGAACCACCAGGGACTCTTATTTTAGGAGTTATTGATCAATTTAGCGGTAGTTAGAGATGAATGAAATTCAAATTGAACCGAGCTGGAGCACACTGGCAATGACATCTTAAATGGTATACCAGTGAAGACTGGGGAATCGTGGAAGTAGTTCGTCAAGGTATGTAGACACTGAGACAGGTTGTCTGACTAAGCAAGAAAGACAGAAATGGCAGAAGGAAGTGAGTGGTACTGTGAGGGATGAAAAAGGGAAAACAGGGTAGTTTATAGGGTGAGCAGTGAAGTATCAGGTAACAACCATGAAATTAGCCACAAATATGACTTATTGATCACCAATTGTTCATGGTCCATGACAAGAGCAGTGTCTACTGGTGAATTAAAGCGATCCAAAGTCACTGGCAATTGCGGTTCGGAAAAGGCGGAGACGAAGGCGGACAAGAGGACGAGCCTTCCGGATTGGGTAAGCAGGGTAGGGCTCGCTAAGCGAGGCGATGCGGCTCTGCGCGGGTTAGCCACACCAAAAAAAGTTCCACCTAATATTGAGGCGAGGAGTCTTGAGATACGACCAGCAACCACCCACGACGACGACGACAATCTCCCGGCCTTGATCCCCATCCGTCACAATGGTGCGTTATGCGTCCCTCGCGATAGTCTATCGATCAATCACGATGATCATGGGCTTTTTCCCCCTGTCTCTCGACGTTGGTTTCTCGACACGGTGAATGCTGATGGATTTCTTCTTGGTGTGATATAGGCGATCAAGCACAACAACCAGATTCTCAACCAGCGTGAGTAATGCACCCGCCATACGGAGCGAAGAATACAGGGCGAACGAGAGAGGGATGTAACGATGAGAAGGGAAAAGAAAATACACTGGATGATGGACGACGAACTGGGTCAAATTGAATGTATCATGGACTGATGGAATTTTTTTTTCATCTCAGACTTCCACAAGGACTGGCAGCGTCGTGTCCGCGTGCACTTCGACCAGGTACGCTCTTCTTTCTCTACGATGCAATATCACGATTCTATCGCAATTCGCCTTGATACGAACGACATGGGAAAAGCGAGGATCGCTGAGAAAAGACGGTGTGGACTGACGTTTTTTCTTCTCTGGTTTATAGCCTGGCCGCAAGCACCGCCGTCGTGAGGCTCGTCTCGCTAAGGCCGCCGCCGTTGCTCCTCGTCCGGTTGACAAGCTGCGCCCCGTTGTGCGCTGCCCTACTGTCAAGTACAACCGCCGTGTTCGTGCTGGCCGTGGTTTCACCCTTGCTGAGCTGAAG